TCTCTCATATAGCATGTATAGTATAAATAGTCAATAAACCTCAAAACAAATATAAGAAGTTTGTTCCTGACCCTGCTCATTGTTTTAAGTAATATCTGAATTAATTTTTTGCTTTTAAAATATTTTTTTACATGTATTCACAACTATTCTATACATTGTAGCTAGACTTGGGAGGATTAAAAATTAAAATATTGTAATGACACGTCCGTTGTAGAAGACCGTAGATTGAACTTTAGAAGTAAATTGTTTGTTTGTTGTTTAATTGGGTTGCTGTCTAAATTAATTATGTGTACTTCACATCTCCTTTTAAGTCATTCATAGAAATTAAACATTGCTTAAAATATGTTAGCATACATGTATAATTGCTTTTATCGTCTGACAGTAGTTTTTTATTCTTCTTATATTTCCCTTTGGATATTTTTTTAGTCTTCTGTTCTTCAACGTCTGCTATCTTGATACGAAGAGCTAGGTAGAGCTAGACAACATCCAACCCAGCCCAAAGATCTTGGGGTATGTGTGGGGGCACTTATTATGTAATGAGTGGAAGGGATAAGTCGCTGGGATAGGTCACTATTTTAAACTTTATTATATTTGATGAGGTAGAGAAATTTAGGTGAAATATAAGACAAGGCTGAGGATTGAATTTGAAACTAATCAGATGTCGATATTTTTTTACAGATGCAATTAAAATCACCAGAGATATATATATACTGTGTTCATATGTCTCTAAAATCACTGTCGTAAATGTTTAAGATATTGGTCAAAACTATTTATGTCCCCATGAAATAGCGTAAAAATGATTGCTATATATGTAGGTATACTTATTGTAAAAAAAATATATGATAGCTAGGGTAACTATGTTCTTTTGTTGTTAAAATTATTATATGAAAAGGTTGGGGTATTGGATGTCTCAGCTGCTCACCCCTACCATTAAAAGGTCGACCCCCCCCTTTTTGAGATAAAGATTCCCGTGTAAATTAATATTAATCGCAAATAAATGATTTGAATATCTCCGTTTTTCAATGTTTTTGTAGCCTTTGGATTATCTTACTACGTATATATATCTATAACCTAAGAAAAAAACGCATTTTACTAAAAGTTTTCCTATAGAAAATGTACGTTAGTGAGCGACATGATTGACGGTGAAATAATCACGTGTGTGTTTACAAAACTTCAGGAGTTTCGGCTATTTAAAGATAAGTGTTGTGTACCGATATGCACGATTGGTAACCAGGCAAAATCTAATTACTAAAATAAAGAGTTCAAATCCGACACTCTACGGGATTAAAAGACGTTTACTAGGTTTGAATTGTCCCAACCAATCAACGAACTTTAAATATTCTAGAGTCAGTAATATCTTCCAGTCAGGTAGTAAGAAAACATTCAGCCCGTACAACTCTTAATACCGTCTCCTCGGAGACGGTAATAAAACACTCATCATCTGACGCTTATTTTTTTTTATTCATAATATGTTCATAAAACATTTTTGTAATTATTTGTTCTCGAGTTTAATTGCGAATTGTTATGGGTAATTTGTCTTCCTTTATAAGTATTGGGAACTAACCATGTTAACAAAATATACCATAAATGCCATTTGATGTTGAATTTATTGTGATATAATTCTTCTTTTGGCGTACTACTATATACCGACATTATCCTTCAAAGGGGATTTCGAACTACATATAAGATACATTGATTCAGTGTTTGTTTGCGTAGATGTTTTAAATGTAATGAATGATAATCGGTCATTAAATTGAATCAACTATCGGAAACAGGAATGTCTGCTATTTAAAGCTATGGCTTTAATTATTTGCAAGAAGGATTCTAGCTTAAAGTTTTCATGTTAAAAAATCAGTGTAAGATATCAATTTAGTCAAAATGAAAACATCCATTCAATTAACAATAAAGACCGGGCTTCGGAGTAACAGTGAATAAACTTATCACAGATGTTAGACGAGCGTTTTGTCTACAAAAAACTCAAAAAGACATATTTGCTTATGGTTGAATGTGTTTTCCAACAAATAATCGTAGGCTATTATTGTGTTCATGAATTTTCATATAAAGGGGGCATTTCAAGAAGAATTAACAAGTTTGTGTTATTCCTCATCTCTGCATTTCACTGTGTAGCTCATACCTTTTACTCAATATTTCAAAGTATGGTGACTATCTATCCCATGAACTCGAAATAAAGGATAAATCAACAGTGAGAGTTGGTTAAAAAAATAAACTTAATGATGAAAAGGTGACTTCAACTTTCACATGGTTATATTCCAGAACTTGTGTTTCCTATCAATGAATCATTTGGTAACATAACAAGGAAGCTAATGAAACATAGGTTCTTACTGGTAAAATCTTTTTGCAAAGTTTTACGGAAGCAATCATGACTGGCCGACCGTTACTTAATATTTGTATTTTAAACACTCAGGAATATGCTCAATTTTTCGTAACTGACATATTGTGCCCATTTTCTCTGTATTACTTTTAATCTATTGCGACTTGCTACCGATTTTGTTTCGACGGTTGTTACTAATGGAGCATGAACTCCTTATCATTTCAGAGCACCTGAGTTAATACATTTCTTTGTGTTGCTTTTTATTTAGTTTTCTGGGTTGTATTTTGTGAATTTTTTTTATTAAGTATCCGTGTTTCATCGGTAACGGTTTTGTCTATCATTTTCCCTGTCTACTGTCTGTGTGATCATTTAAAATCAAAGTACTGAAGTACTGATCATCGGATGGCCGCAAGTTCTGGTGGATGGTCACAAGCACTTGTCTCAGAAAAAAAAATCACATCTCTATACCTGAAAGTTAGGTTAAGGTACATAGATATATTCTTTCTGAGACAAGTTACTGTGTGGATGATGAATAAATGACAGGGAATTCACCCTCACCGTAATAATTATTATATTGTAGTGATATAATCATTTGTTATCAGTGTACTCTGATTTGTTGTTATATATTATATTAATATTTGTATACCAGTTATATATATATAGCAGATCATCTTAATAACTCTACAGGCAAATTTTCATCCATTTATATATCATTCTATTCTACTATTCTAATGATAGTGCAGTGCAAGTGCATGGTGGACACTCTTCTGTAATAATTCGTTTTTCTAATAGATTGGATTTGAGTAGGCATTCATATTTTCCCGCTTTTGTTGCAAAACGTTCTCGAGATATTCTTCCACATGATTTAACACAAACTTTCGGTATCCATGAGTTGTTAAGCGATAAGGAATGTTATTTTGCACTCGATAATATCCGCGTAATTATACGAAATACGTTCGGTTATCAGTCAAACGGCAAGGAAATTTCTGCGGCAACATAACACCGGTATGTCCTCTCAAGGTCACATCCGATGTAAAAAAGAAAATAATACTAAATTATAAATTGTATGCGGCCTAAGCGCTTTTAGGGATTTACTTTCATTAGTGATGACCAAAGCCAAATTTTTGAAAGCCAAAGATGTTTGAGTACCGAATTTCGTGACCAAAATAGATATTCACGTTCGGTCATGTATTAGACTTTGAGAATTTTTTGTGTACTTATGGTTTATTGATTTAGAAATGATTAGGAGACATTAGACAATCAGCATACGTATATTTCCAGTGGCAGTCCAAAATTTTCCGACCATCATCCCGGTCGACCTATCTTGCTGAACCTACATTGTAGTATTGTTGTATATGTTTATTTGTTCTCGTCCTTGACATGTATGAAGTATTTGTCATTGGGCGTTAAACAATCAACAAGTAATCAATCAATCCATTCATTATCAGATCCTTTTTATTAAATTCCTCGAAATCTACCTCCGATTTGCAATTTCAATTCCCCGGATCCACCGCATTTTATTCTGAACCCAAAAAAGTCCGTAACGAATTTAGTGGGTCATTTTTATCTTACATCAAATACTCGTATATAATGGATACGATATATATTCTATTATATTTTTTTACGCAAATGAGACAAAAGCTTTTATAAGGGAACGATTTCGAGAGCACCGAAGTGTTAAATAATTTCCATTTGCTTAATGGAAAGAGTGTCAATGTGGAAATAAAACATTGTTGCATCTGAATTTTTAATAAGCTTAAATCATATCTCTTCAATTTCTATCGATATCAATGACAGGAACTTTTTATTCCACGAAGTGTCAATTGAAAGTGCTGATATTCGATAAAGAGGTCTTTTTTTAACCTTTTTACACATGGATGCGACATGATCTATGGCTGTTTATGTCGACATGTTGTCAACAATACAATGTAGCTAGGATAAACAGTTCATATGACATGCATTGCGACATGATCTATGGCTGTTAAGGTCAACCTGCTGTCAACAATACAATGCAGAATATACAGTTCAGACGACATGCTTTCCACGGTAGTATTACTGAATACCATGAAACACGTTTTTTGCTAAATTTTGCTAGGCTCTGAAACAGTATACGGTTAATTTTGATGGTGTTTATATAATAATACTTTTATTCAGAAGCAATACAGCTTATAGAATATACATTTTTACATCAAATTTTTAAATGCATTTAAGTATACTGGGTTTGGTAATTGAACATGACCAGTTGTTATACCATTGTCACAAGCCGGGTTGAGCAATCACAAAAGCAATCAACTTTGCCACATGAGGTGCTTTTTCGAAGCCAGCAGCTTGTAATCCAGGGGTTGTCGTCTTCCATAATTGTTTTTATTTTCTAGTAATGTTGTAGTATAAAACAGGCCGTTGAATTTCTCCTTTCTTGTGTTTCATATTATACGGTATAAGATTTTTGCACGTTGTTGAAAGCTTTACGTTAACCTCTTTCACATCTTTGGTCTTTATGAGTAGTTGCCTTATTTGCAATCTCCTTTTTTTTTATGATGATGGAAGAATGTAAACTAGGTTTTAAGATGACAACCGCAATAAACAATCAGTTGATTTTTTCCAAAGGTTGGCTAGCCTATCAGGCGAGATGTTTTTCATATCGATCTAACTTATTTTTTCAACAAAATAGCATAACATATTATTTATTTATAAAATATGAAAATGGAAAAATAAGAATTTTCGATTCTTATTTTTGCTTTGTATAAATACATCCTATATTTATCAGTAAATGTCAAATACAATCCTTTGAGTTAAAACCTGCGAAAACATTGAATTACCACTGAAATACTTTCTATAAGCAGTCAAAAGAACAGAAAAATGCGAAATTAATAGTTTATCTAACAAAACATACAACTTAATAACAACAAATTAAAAAAGATTTTGTCAGAAAAGCATAAAACGGATTCAGAAACAAATATCAATTAATCAATGTAAATTAATTTTCCTTTGATGACAATGTATTATAACACTCAACTACATTTAAAACATATGATCTTTAAATTAAACTTTAAAATTAGCAAGATACAAGATATAAGCTTTCTGAAGAAATAAAATCCATATGAGAATTAAAACCCGATTGTTCAAAGAACAATTAAAGGTCTTCCCACCGCTGAATTCACATTTGTTGATAAGAAAATGAGTAAAATAGTAATTTGTGATATAAAAAGTAATTTCTGATGTCAGAAGATAGCTTATTTTGCACTGATTGGAAAGGTTTAAAGTCATATTTATTTTTATAATTAGGGAAAGATGCAGCCACTTCAAGTTAACTCACAGTCTCTTCTGGTATCTAATGATAGGTAACTTAATACTGATTCCACAAAAAATTGGGTTCATATATACTTATGATTGAAATCGGGCGGTTAATCGCTATTTTCGGTATTATAGAATAATGGAACATAAAAGTACATTGGTCCCTTAAAATCCTTGTAACGTGCTGCTGAAATGAAACCACTGCTTGATTAAATCTAATAGAAACAGGAGAGCAGAAAATACAATCAGTTGAAATTTCCTATCAAAATAAATTATCAAATTTTACTCAAAGCGGAAGAGATCATTCCCAAAATCAATAGCTATTACATTTCTCTAAATCTTAACATATTTATACTTTTTTAGAATAGTTATTTTTATTAATATAAGGCAGATTTTAACTTTAAAAGAGAACAAATATGAATAAGAAGATGTGGTATGAGTGCCAATGAGACAACTCTCCATCCGAAGTCTGTATAACTTGGTAATCAGATATACAAATTTGCGGGAAAATCGTATGCTTTACAACACGACAGCCTTCACCAACAGGGTAATTCGCATGTGAGAATGAAGTTTTGAATTCACTAGTATATTGATATGTTTTGGTTTTGATTGTCTGATTGTTATTCAGGACTTCGTCTTCGTAATACCAACGTGTGCTTCGCTTCATTTCTGTTATTTATTATATAAGATTTAATTACGATGTCAAAGTCTTGCTTTCCTCTGATTTCGTTACTGTAAGGCCACGAAAAAGGTGACCATGCCTTAAGACGTCTTACAAAAAGAACACGAACATTATGATAATCCTTGAAAAAGAAAGATAAAGTTTGCCGACATATCGCCTATAATCATAACAGATTCAACCACCCCATTTCTTGCGATGACATTTCTCCACTCTCGACAATTTAATTTAAAAATTAAACGGTCTCGATAGGATAAATTATCGCATAAAATTCGATGCAGAGGTAGAATATATACATTTATCTACTACTTATTTGATTATACTTTTCCCGAAAGGCTGATTATTTTTAAATTAAAGAAACCGATTCCATCAATGCATCTCTTGCTCTACACAGTATTTATGAACTCTCTCGACATTTTAATTTTAAATATTTAAAGCCAAAGACGTTTTAAATGTGAAAATTTAACTGTCAGATCTGATAAAGTTCAAATGATTTGAAATCCATAACCATAAAACGGTTGAAATCATCAAAACAAATAAAGGCTTTTTGTTGAATATCAGTGAACCATGAATATAAGGTTCTAAAATTACCATAAAAAATGTGATCATATGAATATAAGTAAAATTATCAACGTGTACTAAAGCTATCCTAAATAGCTTTATTCAACTACATAAACCTTTGATAAATATATTATTGTATCGCACTTAACTTATTTTACATATAAGTAGTGTCTCTTTGGTAAAGTTACATATTTCATAACAATTTATATTTCAACATTAAATTTCTGTACTTGTATCCTCACCGGAATCGTCTTTCGAACGAATCGAAAACAAGTCTGACTTTATAAAACATCTTCTGTTTGTCTTCTAAATACTGCTAATTTATGCGGTCTGATATGTCATTTCGTTTAAAGACAAAAAACCTACACTTTTATCAATAATACAACACATTCCAACAAATAGCGAACACAATACAACCTAGATAGACTGCTAATGCAATCCACCAAATGTACTGATCGTGGAGTTTCTGTTCAAAATTCTTCAGTACTACAAGCCCTATTGTCAGTCCTGCTAAAGCTCCCATCAGATGGGCTGTGTAACCAACGGGTGCGTCTGTGACTTCTGAAGAATACCGGTCCCATATAGCAAACCCAACGTCCGCACTCGCTGTAAAACAACATGCATTTAAAATCAGAGTTATGTTAGATATCTTTTGTGTTCGTTGCCTAAAACTAAACCAAAGAAAACGAGTACATACAGATTTATCACAAAATATACGCATGTACGTAGGCAAAAAATAAAATCCCTCGTTCTAAATTTCATAGTTAGACCTTTCCATAGACTAACCGACACGTATTGTGTGTTTTGTATTACTGGGTGATAATGATAAAACCTGTAACACATAATACATGTAACCGGATACCATTAAAATGCTTCAATGTGATATCAACTTATTCTGAATGTTACCCTGACTTAGTGATCATTACGGCAACACTTTATCTGTCAGTGCATTCGTTTATTTGAAACTTGGACCTAAACGTATGCATAAAATGTGGCTACATTACTATTTTGAAAAGGGAAATTCACTATTGTGAAATCAAAATAGTATTTTTTTTTCGTAGCTTTGGATTCGACCCAACACTAATTTATCATTTGGTAGATGTGTCCTATTATTAAGCAGACTTATTTTGTATACTTATAGTTAAATAAGTCAGCTGCAGAGTAATATATTCTCTATGAAACGGAAACGGAAAAAAATCCTTGTAACCTCTTTTTCTTATTGTATAATATCCTGTGAATCAGCCCTGTTTAGTTCGATTCAGGAGTCAACTTTTATTTGAAACCTCTGGTGGTATACTTTTAGACCTATTTAGGGTATTCATGACACGTTTTATCTTTCATACGTTCATGGGTTATCGCTATTCATTGTTTAACCATCGGTCTTTTACTCAATATCTGTTCTTTCAACTTGCCAATCATTTGATATGAACTCAAAGCAGTGGTTGCACTGAAGTGCAATACAATTATATTGTCGTTATTGAGGTTTCTCATGCTTCTCAATGCTCTATCAAGTTCATGTCGTGTATTTTATTAATGTACTTAAATGTTATAGATACAATTTATCATATGTTTATTGTAAGAATAGTTCACTATAAATGATTTGTGCGTTACTGCAAGTCATACATTTCCCACAGCCTCGCTTAATGTGTATTGGATGACATAAAAACTTACTTAAAGTTGATTAAATCTTATATTATAGAGTTTTTGTATTTACTTTGTTTGTACCTTGGAATCATTCCGTTTCAGGACTTTATTGGTGCATATCACATAAAGTTTAGTACAACAACCACAGTATATTATCATCAAAGAAATATGCTCAGGCAATTATAAAATAAAATCAGTTAACATGCAATTCGAATTTTACGTTTTATGAAGTTTTAAAGTTTTGTTGAATGTTCATTCATGTCAATCTTTTTTTATTGGCCTATATATGGAATGAGACGACGGGTATTGATAGCAAAGCAGGAGAAGCTTTCCCAAAGCATACGTTCTCATCGAAAAATTTACTTTTAGACCAGGCAAATGTAGGATACAATTCGAAGATAAAATGTTCCCATGTTATGGAAAAATCCAAATTTGGACAAATTACAAAACCACTTCTGGACCAAAATAATACTACTTCGATTTAGGCTCTTAATATTAAAACTTAATATTTGAATATGAAGATAAACATTCAACGATTTAGAATCAACCCTTAAGTTCGTTAATTAGCGATTGATGAGTAGTGTTTGAAGGTCAAAAACAAATTGTTATGTAAAATAGGCTTCAGCTTAAAGCTTTACACTTAAAAATTATCATATCCCCTTAAAAATATATCATCTAAGGTCGCGGTAGTGATCCTCACTTTTAGAGAAACTACATGTATAGCACCAGGGATGTTCATTCGATGGAGTTTAAACACAAATAAAGGACAATCAGATGAACAAATGATAATCAGATATCGAATATATAATGACTAAAACAAATCAGGCCTGGTTCTTTATAAACCATGATCTTTAAGTATCAGATACTTACCAATTATCAATACTGCTGCCAATTTCAAGATGCCAAGTTCCATATTTGAATAATTCTGTAAACAAGGATGTAATGTATTTGTAATGTTCGTGCAATACAAAAAAAAATATATATTGAAAAAAAAATAAATAGGATTATGGAGAGAAAGATACTACTGTTTATGCCGTAAATTTCTGTTCGCATATTAAACGATAGAGCTTTACTTTTTTATCAAATATTCTTGAATAGCCACGTTATTGGCAAAATCCCAATGAGATCGTGTTTTTCTTTGACTGGTAATGACGTCTTTACACTAAATCCAATAGATACTGGATATGTACACTGGAATGACATTTTAGTCTAAGATACGTGATTTTTTATTAGTTGTTATTGCCTATGAACTAGCTTTCAGAAATTGCGAGTACTCTCAGATCTGCACTTTCGGTCTTTAGTGTTTTTGTAAGTTGTATTGTGCTTATCGACCTGATGATTTAACCCCTTTTCAACTGATTGTTATAGTTTGTTCTTATGTTGTGCTGGTTCACCTCTGGGTGAGATTAGGAGAGGGGTTGACGCACGCAAAAATGTTTAACACCGTCTAACTATATGTGCCTGTCCTAAGTCCGGACCCTGCAATTCAGTGGTCGTTCGTTGCTGTTTATCATATTTGCTTTTCGTTTATTGTTTTGTACCGCTTGATCTTGTGTTGTGTTGTTGCACCACTGTCCTAGGTTAGGAGAGGGTTGGGCGCCCGATTTATGACCAATTGATTTTGTCCCCAAACAAAACTTTCCCAAAACGTCAGTGTACTTCTGAGTGCTTTGACCTTGATCTTTGACCTTAAAAATCAATAGGTCTGATTCTCTCTAAATGTCGTTTTCCGGCTAAGAGGGGTGAACATTTAATAAATGGTTCAAAAGATACCATCCAAAATCCAAATTGTTGCCCAAATTTTAGCTTATCAATTTCTGCTTATGGTTCAAAAAATATTATTCAATATTTGTCCAAATTTCAGTTTAACAATAACTGCTATGACCTTGAACTTTGAATAATAGACCCCTAAATCATAAAGGGTCTTCCTCATATCATAGGACATTTGTCGAACGAAGTTTTGTAAAGGTTATACATATGGTTCAAAGGTTTACATCCGAATTTTCAGTCTATACATGGCTGCTGCAACCTGGACCTTTGACTTAATGACCTCAAAATAAATAGGGTATAATCCTTTTCTCATGAGGCAGTTTTACAGATGTTTTTTTAAGATCAAGAGATTTTGTTCGTAAACCAGAAATAATCATGTTAGAATGCCCAGACACCACTTACCATATTATAATTCGCGTTCTACATGGTCAAAACTCGGCTAAAAAACGAATTTAATTTGAATCCAGCATAAAAAGCAGACGCGACGCAAACGTAAAGTGCGTGTATAAATATAAGAATATGTTGCTGTCTGCATTACTGTGTTTCTAGAAAGCAAATGTCTACAATATTTTTAAAACATACCAAAACAATGTTAGCTAGATGAGCTGCTAGTAATGCATATACTCCTCCAGAAGCACCGACCAAGTATGCTTCCATATCAAATACTGATGTTCCCAGGGAACCTGTCATATAAAGAAAGATAACCGATTTAACAATTGAGGCAGAATATATTTTCAGTAAGATTCGTATTGTTTTCGCTATTTACTGCTTTTTTTTCTCATTACGAGGTTTATATATATATATATATAGAAGTCTATCAAAAGGACCAACCAGCAAATTTAATATGTACTGGATCGTCTAGAATAGACGATACTGTGCAGATAAGGAAAAAATTATAAAAGTCTAAAGATTTGCGCAACGGTACTAATATAAGATGGTAATATACGAAGATGATGTTATAATATATATATATATATACACCGTTAGATATACTTGTGGAAAAAAAAAGAAACTGTACATAAAAAAAAATTACCTAGTATTTACAAACTGAATATTTTAAGTTAAAATGTGTCAAAATCTTGTTAAAATGATGATTTGAAGATGATAACTAACTTGGCACGACGGAGTTTCGAATGATTCTTGAACACATACTATGTTTTTAATTTCGAGCACACGAAATGTGTTGTGTCAGTGTTTTGTGTAATAAGGTACGTGTCAATCATTTCTTTAATCCCAAATTAACGGGGATTTTTTTTGTTATAATGAAAGACATCTTGAACGCACAGCATAGAACATTTGAAAACAAACTAAACAGTTCTACTTGAATTCAATAAGTGAATAAGCATAATAGGCAAATATAGTATGCTTTAATTTGTTCACATTTAATTGCTTATTTTGCTTTCTTCTTTTCGTGTAGGAAGGCAAACCATTATTCGTCTATTATTTGTTGTCTTTGCTTTGACTCTTCAGTTTTTTTATAACTTATTTTGCTCATTACCTGCTAAAACTCCTGACATATACACCATACCAGTTCTAAGACATCCATGTATCATTTCTAAAGGAATCCCAACAGCTATCTGGACTACCATGTTGAAAATTAAATGTACCCATCTATAGTCGGAAAAATAACAATGCATTACATATATACATACTACCATATCATTATTATATAAGGATGATTTTTGTCTACAATTTATCGATATAAAATTTAAAGATGACAAACTGTTTTCAACTGAGAGAAAGGAGACAACTGGAAAAAAAATTACCACAGGAAATAAACTTTGAACAAAAGAATTGAATTATCGCTCTTTTCCTTTGCAAACATGTGCGATTCAATAAATGTGACTAACTTTACATTTTGCTACAAAACTAAGGGGATCAGCACATATAAATGTAGTCACTCAATGAAGTGAATATATGGTTTAGTTGTTCAACTGATTTACACATTGCAATAAATACAAAACACATACATAAATCAACGTTATTTTGACTCTGTTGGAGAGTTGTCTCGAGAAAACCACATCTCCTTACATATACATTATTCAACTTGAGCTGTCCAATGTATATTATGAAGCTAGTCGTGCATACTAAGGTAGATCGTCACCAATAATGTAAAAGTGAGGACAAATGTATACTAACCCTGCATGTATGAAGGTATAACAATAATGTAAAAGTAAGGACAAATGTATACTAACCCTGCATGTATGAAGGTATAACAATAATGTAAAAGTAAGGACAAATGTATACTAACCCTGCATGTATGAAGGTATAACAATAATGTAAAAGTGAGGACAAATGTATACTAACCCTGCATGTATGAAGGTATAACAATAATGTAAAAGTAAGGACAAATGTATACTAACCCTGCATGTATGAAGGTATAACAATAATGTAAAAGTAAGGACAAATGTATACTAACCCTGCATGTATGAAGGTATAACAATAATGTAAAAGTGAGGACAAATGTATACTAACCCTGCATGTATGAAGGTATAACAATAATGTAAAAGTAAGGACAAATGTATACTAACCCTGCATGTATGAAGGTATAACATAGAAACCTCCAAAATTCTACTCGTTTATCTGGTCTGTAGATAAGCACACTCTCTACTGGTAATGGTCCATTATGATTAATATTACCATTCTCTACACAGTAATAAGCAAATAAGGCTACCTAAAAAAAACAACAAAGATATTGCTTACATGAGTTGCTTTCATAAAGATGTCCATCCAATATCCTATATTTGATAACAAATCGGTTGTTAATACCAGAGATCTTGTGCAATTTAGGAATAATCAGAAAGAGCATATACTGTAGAAATACTAAAGTATTATAATGCTTTGAGTTGTCTTTGAACTTTGTCTAACTGATGCTATGCTGATGTTTTCAAGAGTATTATTATTTACACGATACGACAGATTATTTTTGAAAAGGAATGTTTTCAGACACACACCAGAAGCGATAATACAAATAACAAAAAGGAATGTATGTCGTCCGTGACTTTCTAAGAAATTGCCGGCAACTTTTGAAATTTTAGTAAAACAACACTTTTAACTACATCCAGCAAAGCTTTGACTTCAATTTAAGCACTTGGTTTTGTGTTGTCCGTATTCATACATCATTTGCTAACAAATCTTTTGGATATAAACATTCTTGACAGAGTTTCAGAATTAAAACATCATTCGTATATCATTGTATATCTTAGTTTTAATTGAAACAAAATAAAAACCAATCAGTGATTGTACGCACAGTTCCATCGACAAATATCGAAAATAAATTTCAAGAGATAGCAAAATATTTTTGACTGACCTCTACAAGTGTTATTACTGGAACAAAAATCGGCGGTGGACAGCAATTATATCTATCTGCATAATACTGTCTTTCTACGTCATCTGTCAAAAAATTTCGGGCTACTGCACGCACCATCACTTGAAAAAACGTAGTTTTGTCTTTCCTACTTAAACAGTCTAGTGTTTCTTTACTCTCACCATCAACAGCTAGTCTAAAACTTGGTGTTCTTTTATTACTCATCTATTCAAATAGAACAATATTCAGTGATTCATGTAGGTCTTACTCATATTTACGATTGTCACATATTTTAAGTTTTTCTAAGAAAAAGTGGCGAGAAAAAATAATGAAACGATTCAAAAATCATATAGAAAATGTTTTAAACAGTATCTTTATTTTATCTATTAAAAAAATATTATTTATCAAATAAAAATAATAGATTAATAATTGTTGACATTTCAAATCGTTTCATTAGTCATTGATATATAAATCTTTTTAATCGAAGGGGCGTTGACTGTTAATTGTAATATTGTAAATTGTTAATATTTACGGAGTTTATCGTCAAATATGGTAAAATCGAAAACTAATCGATATCGCATATTACAATTAGTAGTCAGCATTTATTTAGATCAGGGTCATCGGCAATTCTAAAATCAATTTCATTTTTTTTTCTAAATTACAAAATTCTCTTTATAAATGAAGCTGGAAGCAAATCTTATAGTGTTGCAGGCATATTGGATTTGACATGGATATCTTCGGAAAGGTTGGTTCAAGAAAATTCGTCGCAGTGCATGTTGCCAATTTCTTACAATAAGAATGTAGATACACGACTGTTCGCACAATTATGCAAACGAATTAAAAAAAAAGAAATTTGTTTCGATCTGGAATAGATAATATAAGATATTTTAATAATTTATATAACTGAAATATAACATATGTACCCTCTGTAGAAAAAAAAACAACTTTATTTTGAAACGTTACCGTGGTATTTTATTTGATGTTTATTCTAATGTCAAATCTTGTCCCGTTTAAGGATGATTACTGAATGTTACAATAATCAAATAATCAAGAATTAAAGGTTAAGCGTTTTCTCACACCCTCTCTCTCACACTCTCTTGTCAATATTTTCTATATTATGATTTTAAAAAAGCTTTAACTATTTCAAATAAACATTTACCAAATCTAATAAACTTAGCACAAAACGTAATCAACGGAAAGTTAATCTAAAATTGTGAAAACGAAAGTGTTTAGTTTGTCTTTTTGGAATTCTATGGACTATATATTTTGTATTATTCTAATGTTATACATAAAAAGAAGATAGGATATATACATCAATGATTGAAATCTGTAAATTTGGATTATATTCTGGTATATATGTTTTGGTCATTTCTAAACAGAAGCATTAATTTGTCTGATGAACTTGCTGATTTATTCCATTCAAAAGTCAGATTGACAAACCTTGAAATTGATCTAATGAATGGATAACAACCTCGAGCTATCAACATCTTAATACTTCAAGGATCTATAATAATTGTCAATTCTACAATGTACAGCCAACTTTTGACAGCTTGTGCCATCGACACAAGAATATTATTTTGCTATTGAAGATATGTTTTATGTAACGTAGCATGTCGATAAATCCTTTCACATTACAGTTTTTGTACATTTTACAAAATTTACATTTGACTTTCATTAAATAAATATTGTATTTTACTGAATTTTATATTTAATAGCGATATTGAACAACCTCTCCATTGCAATAGAAAACTTGTTGTATGTTGCATGTGTTATATAAGGAAACCGCTATTAGTTTAATAAACTTAGAAGTCTTGAATCATTTGTTCAACCCATATAAAATCAAGCAGTTACAATGAACAGTTCGAATATGCAAAATACACTATCATATCGACCGTTTTGTCTCTTTGTAAAATTCTTTAAAAAATCTATGGGACTCTTATTTTGATAAGAAAAGTGGAACAGGGAACAATCTAACACATACTAAAGTGGTGTAAACCTGAGTTGAAAGTTGATAAAAATGTCTGCCAGATAATTTCGCATCAAAGTTCTGAAACAATTTAGTTACCTACAATATTCCTATTTGCTAAATACATAATTTTATCATATCTAGCATATCAAGTACTCTCTGGAATAAAAAAAAAACCTAAACGATTTATATAATCATAAATGGAGCCGTTGGTTTTCTCTTTTGAATTGTTTTGTTTTTACATTTACGTGAATTCAGTTTACATGTAACACAGGTAAAAATTAAGATAATTCATAATTCATGGAATCATTCAATGATCACTTTATTCAGCAAATCCATGTATGTTTGTGTTTCTTGACACTATTTAAAAATTTTAAACCACCCCACATATCAAACTAAGAGGGCTTTATACACCAGCAGTAGTACGCAGAAGTGAGAAAGAGAAAAATGCAGGTTATATGATGGAGCAATTACGATAATACCAGAATGAAGAAGTTGACAGATTTTCAATTCTTAAAGAAGTGGGCTTCAAATATTCAGCACGTACCGAAATGCAAAATCAGTTCTTTTGCTCTTTAGATTTGTTTTCTTTTTTTTTTCATTTGTTTCTGTATATATTTCTAGAACTTAATTCTTGGGCATAATAAAACGGACTTATTCTGCTTAATTCCCACCTCCACCTCCACGTTGGTGAGCAGGAGACTAACGGAAGGGGTACTTGTAAATAGTCAGATAAATAATGTATCTGATTAACTTACGACCTTTATCTTATTGACTGACAACCTTAAAATGTTTGCATGCAACCTTTATCTTATTGACTAATGACCTTTATCTTATAGACTGACGACCTTTATCTTATTAATTAACGACCTTTATCTTATAGACTGACGACCTTTATCTTATTAACTAATGACCTTTATTTTCTTAACTGACAACCTATATTTTATTGACTGACGACCATTATATAATTTACTGACGACCTTTATCTTATTAACAAACGACCTTTATCTTATTGACTGACGACTGACCGTTATCTTATTGACTGGCAAACTTTATCTTATTAACTAACGTCATTTATCTTATTGACGTACGACCTTCATCTTTTTAATCGACGGCCTTTATCTTATTGACTAACGACCTGGAGTCGGTTTCACAAAAATTAAACCATTGTGGTGACGTCAGCCTATTCATTTACCGTGGATTCTTTTTCTAGAATCAACGCTTCCTAAATCTGCCGCTGAAATTGACTCACCAAATTATATTCAATTGTTTCCTTTGTGTGCCTAATTTCATTAAGTTTGAATTGGCTAATTTACTGATTTCTGTTCACTAATGGAATTAATTTAAAAACTTACCTTTAATTTTTTTAATTTTTATATGCCTTCACTGGGAATCGAACCCTTCTTAGAAATCTGTTATGTGTAACTGACATCAACACATCGACGAAACCTCTCGGCTACCAATGGGTTACACTTTAGATTTCTATTTTATATATATAAATGAACATCTGATATACATCGGTTCATCGGACACACAGGGCTTGTACCTTTATATTGACACAATAGGCAGTCGTATAGTATGAGTTGGTAGCCGCGAGGTTAGCATGGTTAAAATCAATGAGTTAAGATACGGATTTGTCGGTTTAGGTTCGAATCCCTGTATTCTCTCTGTTGTTCCAATTCTTAAGTTATCCTATTTTTTTTCTAATTTTGCATTTTATAGTGGATATTTTTGTAATAATAGCGAGTTTTACCGTTTTTTTTTATTATTATTGGCTATTTCACATGTTTGAAACAAAAATTATCACATTCTATTTGTCAATTTTTGTTTTATAAATATAGTATGATTTCATCTGTTTTACTCCATTATTTTACAAAGGTTTGTTCGCAAATTCCTATGCGAGAAAATCGTGATGTGCCTAGAGTGCTAGAACAATTTCGGTAACATACTTATCATATATACTTTATATATGCTTTTTGGTCGGGTTGTTGTCTCTTTGACACGTTCCCCATTTCTATTCTCAATTTTATTAGAAATAATTTCGAATATGTCTTATTTTGTATAAACAGATAATATCCATATGCCTGGTAATATAAAGATCTTTAAAGGTAGAAGTGTTATATTTGTATTTTGTTAACCAAGTAATTGTGATCTGAGATTTATCAATGCATCGTTGGACACGATAACATGGTTATTTAAACTCACTTACAATACCTTCTAATTAAGAAAAGGCTTTAATTTTGAAAAGAAATTAACACAATAGTTTAAGTTATAGATACAATGGATAAGCGTAGATTCATGAAAAACAAACCATTCGCCCTCCGGGCTCATGGTTTCTTTTTCAAGAATCCACGCTTATCCATTGTATCTATATAACTACTTACGACTAAGATTGATCGTAACAATTCGGTATACTTACGATCAATCTTAGTCGTAAGTTTTTTTGTGAAACCGACTCCTGTATCTTATTGACTGACGACCGTTATCTAATTTACTGGTGACCTTTATCTTATTTACTGACGACCGTTATCTTATTCACTGACGACCTTTATCTAATTCACAGACGACCTTTATCTTATTGACTGACGACTTTTATCTTATTAACTAACGATATTTATCTTATTGACGTACGACCTTTATCTTTTTAACTAACGACCTTTATCTTATTGACTGACGACCTTTATCTAATTAACTATAATCTTTCTTTTCCTCATAAAAAACTGTTCTTCTAGATTAAATTCTAAACTGATTTATTTAATATGTATCGTAAGGATGGTACAAAAAGTCTCGTGAAATGAGAGAAGATATAAACGAAAGTCAAATGGTACCTGAATAGATAAATATGTCCTGGTTTACAGTTCAAAGATACTGACGAAATAATTTGATAATAGAATTGAGAATGGAAACGGGGAGTGTGTCAAACAGTCAACAATAAATACATTGTTTAGCATTTTATAATTCAGAGGAGTCGGTATTTACACAAACCTACACACACACACACACACACACAAACACGAGGACATGCACGCACAGATAAATATGATGAGATCGTGGATATATAATAATTGACAGTAGAATGCTGTAAAACTCAAATATTATTCAGAAAATGTTCACCCAAAGGATACAAGTTTGCTGTTTTTTTGTTTCGTTGTTTTTTTAAACACTTTTATAATTTACGCGTAATAAAATCAAAGAATTCACGCCAAATGGTAGATTATTGACTGTTCAGTCATCTCTCCAGAAAACCTCAGTTTTGTTTTGGTTCATATATGATGGGGGAGATTATTGTCATAAACTGCCATAAGTATGAGCCTCGGTGTCATGAATTATATTTTAAATCAAAAATGTACAAAACATTTAGTTTTTTATCAGTCACTGTTCTGTTCTTGAAGAGATAAGCCACTGTTTTAAGACTGTTAAATATTTTATGATATGTAGACAATTTTACTAAAATAAAGTTTGCGTACTTTATGTCTATATTAAAAAAAAACATTCTCGGTATGCGATATTTGGACTTCTGATGTTCAACAGATGTATAGGAGCAATAAAAGTTTTCAATTTATTATACTTGAACTTCAATATTTTTTAAACTATATATAAGCGTTTGCATATTTCAACCAAGAAACCAAGTTCTTGTTCTCCAGGAGTGCGCCACCCATCTTTTTAAAGAATGTGTCTATAATTTGTTCTTGAAAGTTAAGTTGACGGAGATTATTCGTTACATATATACATTCACATATTTCATATTTATAACTTTTATTGCTCCTTGTATATACGAAACTGTGTTATTTCTATTATATAATGAACACTTTTTCGTATACTAGTATGCATTGAAACGATAATTTTGTTTTCAAATTTATCCACTTCTCTTGTATTTGGCTGTCTGTTTTGTTAAAATAAAACAGTTATTACGTTTAAATAAATATTTAATAAGACGTATTTTTCTTATGCATTAAATCCCAATAAAATACTTCAATTATAATAATGCAGAAAATGAAGTAATAATCATTATTTTTATAATCATATCATTTCTAATTCTATTATTTTTTGCGGTTGTTAATTTAAATGCTGTTTGTTTTTAGTGAAGCAAAAGTTTGATCACTTATGATAAAAGTAATTTCCTTACCTACATGATTCTGTTTATGAGGCTGACTAAAATGAGATTGCAAATCCGAAATCTAATGTTTTATAATAAAGATATAGAATAACACTAAATACAAATTAAAAATTAAACTTCAGATGTTTTGCACAATGCAAATTAAAGAATTATAAATATTGGATATTATGCCAGGTGACATCTATACTTTTGGATTTTCCGTCAATAACGGTTCACTTCATGTTTTCAAAGTTACGCAGTAAATTCATGAATACATAATCGTAACGGAATTGATTCTTATATTTACCCATCATCTCCAGGGACACGATAAAACGAAATGACTTTTTCAAGATTTTTGAAAAAAAAATTAAAAATTAATTTGAAATTATGTTTAGAATAAAAAAAAAGTATTACACCTGTCGAATTGAATGAATTGATTGCTCATTAATGATGTTTACGTTATATAAGAATGGTCCAACATGCCTTGGGAATTTCTCTACAATTATGTTATTCATTGTCATAAAAGAACATTGCTCGACTTATTTTAACAATTAGTAAGTCCTTTTGTCAATTTATCCGATGGGAAATGTAGTCAATAAAATTTTAAAAAAAATGTATTTATCTTTTATTACTATTCAGTAGAGACTTTTAATTTCTGAATTCGTATATGTAAGAGAATGATAATCCCTTTCTTCATGATTAAGTTCGAGCGTTAGCGAGTACTTATCATGAAGTAAGTCTAGGTTAGTCTATGGAAAGGTATATACTATGAAATTTAGAGCGAGGGGCTTGCCCCGAGCTCTTAATTTCAAGATATATACCTTTTCATAGACTATCCAATTTAGCACATATTTACAACTCGAGTAATCTTTTAATTGGTCTATTGATAGTTTATTTTGGCTGACTACTTGTATCACAGGTGTTTGTAAAAAGGAGCTCATTAACGAAGTTTTGTAAATCTACTCATTAGTATCATTGTAAAATATGTTATTTCAAAAGACCCTTGACTCCAGAATGAAAAGATGGTAGCTGCTGGTGTAAGTATGTATACTGATATAAAGCGGTGTTTTACTATACATGTTCTTCTTACATGGTAAGATGACAAAATAAATTGACCAAAAGCAGGCAATAATTAAATTGCAGTGGAAGCTTTACATGTTTTGAAAACATTTTTTAATTTCACAGTAAAACTAAAGCTATAATAAATTTGAAACATATAGATAGTTTGTCCCCATAGATATAGTCTAGCAGATAGGCATTAAAAAGCAACTACCAATTGATCAGAGATTTTAGGTTTTGTGTTTTTTTTCTTTTTTTTTCTTATTTCAAAGTAAAAACTAAAAGATTTACCAGAATATGTTTATATATATATATATATATATAGGTGGCACATTATATTTGGAAATTAAGCAACCAATAATCAATAAAACAATCAATTCATGACGAAATAGATCACCTTCCTTAAGAAAGTTTAAAAAATTATCACCAAGTTGCTTTAATTTCCCTTCACAAGGTTTCATAGTACACACTTTTTTGTGTACAAATTAATTGCATGGATGATACATTATCATAATTTTAAGATATCGTTGTACTCTAATCAAGGTATAAAGAACCATATGTATTACCCTTTATTTAAATGAAAGAAATTTGCAATTGTCAAAAACATTTTTTAGATCAAAAGATTTTAATAGCAGGATATTTAAAATTCAACGTGAAAACTAATTACAAACTATTTAATTTAATTTGGAACACAGCATTTAATTTCAAAATAGCCAGTGGCAATTTTTGTTTTAATATCTTGATTACGATACAATGAAATCTTACCCTTGTGGTCATTCATGCGTAGTTACTTAGTACACGGGAAAAGTATGTACTATGAAAATTAGAAGGCAAATATAAGCAATTTGATTGGACGAGAAGTTGTAAGTATGTGCTAAGGGATTATCATTCTCTTACAAACTTAGAATATTGTAAAGTGCTCAAGGCTCAAATGATCTATTCAAGAATTAGTTTCATTGTCAGTGCAACGGTTATAATTGATGCATGACTTCCTTTTTCGGCATGTCATTTATAGATTAGTTTTAGTGATGTGAGGACTTTCTTATCATTTGGGAAATATTTTTAAAAAAAAAATGCGTTATAAATATTAGGTGACACAACAGTAGAAAGAAACGGTAGGAATTGCATGTTTCCTGATTGTGAGTATGATTGTAAATCATGTAATATTTTAGTGAGGAAATATCCTTTTTTTTTATTTACAGTTTAAACCAATTAATACATTTGAGTTACAACTAAATTTTATTTCACAGCCAATATTTTGGTCCGGCTTTTTACATCAAATACTGTTTCATTATGTATGGGAAATGTTCAAAAATAATGCCTTTAAAAGTTTTTAATATGTTCAAAATTAAATTCCTGTTTTTTTTATCGGAATACATGTATTGGAAATAACTATTTTCCCCAACCGCTGATCAAGTAATCAAAGTTTTGGAAAGCTAAAGATTAAGGTTATTTTTTATCTGAAAGATTTTTTTTCTTTTTTTTTTGCATTGCTTTGGTATTGTTTAATTTTATAGTAATTTGAAGTTATTAATATTTTCATAATAACATTCACGGTACCAATTTTTACTGCACCAGTAAACTTCAACTTATTTTGAGATTTTTGTTTGCTTCACAATTCAACTTTTAGTCAGTTTCAATCACTGTGTGATAAATCCTTTCAATCTGATAAATGTGCTTCGGGGCAGTTGTAACTCATTTATAGAAACTCTTTGTTTTGAACTGTAAATAGACCCAAATAATAGGATAATCCCTTACTAAGAACATGATTTACATCCATTCTTCACAATTAAGAGGCATCCAATCCTACAATTTCATTGGTCGAGAGTACTTTGCTATATTCTAAATTTTTGCGCGCAGCTTTTGTTTACATTTGCGCGCATTCTTTTACAGGTAAACTCAGGTAAATACTGGTAGATTATACTTATTTATTTATTTTTCTATCATTTTCGAGCAGGATGAGATCGTTTTATTATGTACAAGCACTTAGTTCTGGAAATATATACATATAAAAATGTAAAAACATATCAGATATAAAGATAAAAAGTACGACATATCGGGAAAAGATGCATTTTTCGAGTAATTTTAATTATTAACTTGAAAACGAGTACATGGACCCCTTTTTTTAAAATGACATTTGACTGGATACTGTATGAAGCATATGTATTCCAATTTTTATGAAGAAATCACCGATGAACTTTTTTAAATTAGATAAAAATACAGCAAAAAATGCCGTTTTTTTCTTCAAAATCTTGACAATTTAATAAAAATGAATTATTTCCAAAGAATTGTTACACAAATTAAGAGGATACTTTTGTAAAGAAGATATTCCAAATCGTTTTACCAAAATCCGCATGTGTTTATCTTTTGAAACAAAAAAGTTTAATATGTCTATCCAAAGGATAGAAATGTCCAAGAAACTGAAATTTTGGTTAAATGTTTAAAATGTCGACCCCACTTATCTCTAAATTTAGCACATAAAGGTATATTTTTTATTACATATTTGAATTGACCAAGTAAAAAATATCTTGTTTGCAAATTTTCGTTAAAAAAAATCACCGTGGGATCGAAACTATATCGTATGCCCTTAAGAAACCCACAAAACACAAAATACTATTAGTACATGGATGTGCTGAATAAAATTGCTCATTGTAGTGAGCTTGGAGTGATTCCTGGCTGTTTGTACGCTTGGATTCTGCTGACGGTAGTAATGCCCAAAGTCTTGGAGGAAATAGGGAATCTGCTGATATACCTTTGCAATTATTTACGGTGCATCGCCATGAAATATCTTGTGACTTAAGTGTTCTGTCGATACGGAAAGTAAATCCATCGTACACTAATGATTGTTTCCTCCGACTTGTTTCTGACAAATTCAATATGAAAACATACAATTTAAATTTACAAGTGTTTTTAAAATTCATAATAACTATAGTCATACTTATTATCTTTATCTTTACATGTGTTACCTGTAAAAGGAGTGCGCGCAAATGTAATTAAAAGCTGCTCACAAACGAAAAGAATTTTCATCCCCAAATGCGCGCAAATGTAATGCGCCCCGCACTATTACATGTATATGTTCAGTGGTCCATGAAATAAGGGTCAAACCGCAAAGAGACAAATCGGGGACAACAAACTGTTCAGACAAGTGTCAGTATCATATGTTGAGCTCTTACTTACCTCGAGTTTAAACAGTTCAGAAAGAGTACTACACACATATCATGCATGACATCAACAGAAAATTCCGTGATCGGCTAGAAATACTCGGCAGCAGTCCTTTTGCGCCAATCATGCTATTTTCCAGATGTATCCTTTGCGCTAAATATCTTTTTTCAAAGGTATTAATTATGCCAATTTACGGAATTAAATTGCGCCAATTTACCTGTAGTAATGGTTATCGTACATAATCCTTAATAAATTATTATACCATAAAAAGAAAAATCTATGGAATTAGGGACTGTTGTTGCAAGATATGCCAAACTGATAAGAAAGTAGAAGTTTTTGCTGATTATGTGTTGACCACATATGTTAATGACTATGATTTGTTTCCATTATACAAATGGACTGAAACTCGCGAAACACACTAATAATGGACCAGAGGCATTTCATACGCACTACAACGAACTGTTTTGTTTTTCATCGCATCCATCTATGTTTGTATTTTTGGACAATATCATGAATTTTCAACATTCTTAACAAATGACAACAATTCATCACTGTATATAAAATTAACAACTTTTTACTTGAAAATGAAACCAGATAAATAATGTATTTTAACATTTTTCAAAAATGTGTTTGGTCGTATGGGATCGATATTGCATATTATCTAATAATTTTTCAAATAGCTTTATCAGAAATTATAAAAATATTGATATAAATGTTTCAAAGTAGTTTTAGTTATTTTTATACGTGTTTGTTGCGAGAATACTATGTTTTATGGTATTTTTGAATTATTTAAGGCATTATGGAAAATAACTGTTAAATCCGTCAATTTAGAATGATCAAATCAGTGTCCGGGTTTCTTCGTGAACACAATGTACATTAAGTGCACTTTTAATTAGACAATGCAACTATTACTGTTCAACCAAAACTATTAGCTTTCTGT